TTGTGGGTGATCAGAAGTATACCTAGTTATTACATTTATAATGAAATGAAAAAGATAAGATTCAACTTTTTAAAAAAACATTAAATTACCAAATAATATTTTGTCTGACATATAATCATAAGCAACTGTAATTTATATCTTATTATTAACCTAAGTAAAAATAGTGACAATTCTTTAGTATATTAATGCAATTGTTTTTGATGATTTACAAAATATAAGAAACGCGTGTGTGGTATACTATTGTTTACATATCTGTACTGTTACATTTCAAATACAACTGTTCTTGATAAAGTTTTTTTTTAAAATTATTCATGTGAAAACACTATTTTTATTCCCGAACATATTATGAACACTTGTACAATTGTTTGGATTAAACGATTATTCAACAATTAACTGTTTGTTTTCATAGACATATCTAGTGACAAATGGGAATTGATAATGAAAAAAGCCGGCTTCAACATGGTTGATTTGAGAGACAATCGTTACAATCAAATAATTCACATGGTGTCTGCTGCATGTGGGGCTGAAGACTTTTATACAATAGGGGTAAAAACGTCAAAAAACTCTTATAATATGTATAAAAAATTTCATTAATTTAGAATCCGTTTCAGAATCATTCGAGCAGGACTGAGGATGTAAGTCTGGCTAAAAGTCTAGACTTCAAAGCGTCAGCATCCTGGATTGGACACCCATACTTCAATGTCATTGATAATTCATCAGATTTTGAAAATAAAATATGCAGGATGATAGCTGTAAGTATTAAAATTAATTCAACTACCTATTGGTGGTTTCAGAGAATGTTTTTATTCTTTTATTGATATTTTATAGACCGTTTGTCAGAATTTGGGCATAGATACTGTCGATCGATTAGCGCCAAACTCAAAAAAACGTAAATGGTTAGTGAAGTATCTGCCTAATGATGAGTTGTTCCCTCCATTTCAAGATTTTGAGGTCGTACACAATTATTTGAAAACAAATAAAAACAATATGCAAGCTCGCTTACGAAAACGAGGACAAAAAGGTTCCTTATTTGTCTTTGATTACATGATACATGATTGACTGTGACTTCATTTTTACTTGTTTATAGGGCATTGGAATTATACACATACGATTCGTAAGCCTAAAGTCCAAGGTCAAGTAATAGAAGTGAAAAAGCAGCTCAGTCATGAGGTCTATTCAAATATGTTGGAACATAAAGATGAAGCCCACAATCCAATTTATAAAAAAAGGCGATGCTTTATACACTGCAATCAGTATTATCAGTTGGACATTTATTGTAAACCGTGTCATAAAAGGTACAATAATAACAATTTTAAAAACTACTTTGTATTTTCACTGTATATCCTTTACTATTTTCTACCTAATTAATACTGAATTAATATTTTATATCTGATTTTAGGTGTGAAGGATTAATATTACTTGAGACATATTCCATTCTTGAGGGCCAAGAGCTTCTTGATTGTTTGCCAAAATTCCTAGACATTGAAGCTGAGGTTACTGGTAATGCAGAGTATTCAATGTTCAATTTGTCACTTGTTGAAGATTGGGATATGTCAAACAATTTTTGTCAATAAGTACTTGAAAGGTAATTTTCACTCCCCTAATGATTTCTTAGGAGTACCTACAATTCAATTATTGTGGGTAGTGGGTACCTTTGTCTATGTAAAATTAGGCTCTTAATATTTTTTTTTTAAGATAGAGGAAGTTGAACTGGCTTTCTATGTATTTTTTTTAGGACCAGATGATGAATACCTGAATGTAGGTGATCATAAAACCAACCAAGTTATTTACATTCATAGGTACAAATTAAAAACAAAGAAAATAGTGACTTGGTTTTTACATTTTTAATAATTTAATATAGTACCTGCCTATAAAAATGTTTTCTATTTGTTTTTCATTATATAATATTCATTTTTTTTATGTTTTGTTAAATAGTAAACAAAACTGCCAATAACAATTTTATATTAATAGATTTTTAAGTAACTAATCTAGGTATAAGTTCTTTAACACAAACTACCCATACTTACATATATCAATGCATTGATAATTATTTGTATTAACTTGCTACTGCTTGTTTTTTTCATTATTATTGAAATAATTCCTTTTATTTTTTTGCAACTGAAACAAAACCTACCTACATTGTATATGTATATTAAATTATGGCTGTAGGTAATATTTTATTTATTTATTATTTTTTAGGTAAACCTTATAATGTAATCATTCATATTAAAATATATTTTAATATATCTAAGACACAAAAAATTACGTATTATTTTAATTTTCTGCAAATATTGATTACCTAATGCCCATTGAAAAAACAATTGGTCCCTAAATTAATTGTAATACTTACACTTGATTGATATGACTTGCCAATGCTTATGGTTTAAATTTACTTAAGTTATTGCTAATAATGTCTACAGTCTTGACACTTCCTACGTTTTCCTATAAAAGTATATTTCGCACATTCAGAAATACACTCTTTATTTGAATGTGGTCAGCCAGTAAGTGTGCATTTTATGATTATCTAACTCATTTTGTTGGAACAACACCAGCAAGTATCAAGGTTTTAATCAGTGGCGGCTATCCTCAAATAAAAATGTGTTGATGATTATATATTTTCTGAGGACCCACTCGCCCACCTACAAATATTTATTAGAAAATACATATTACCAACATTTAATCAGTGGGTCAAATATTTTTCCAATTTAATTGTTAAGATTTGGGTGCTTTCAAAGTATAATTTGTCTAATAATAAAAAAAAAAAATAAAGCTACATCTTTATTTTTATAAATAAGTTACATAATAAATAATATTTTTTGTTGTGTCCTATGATTTGCGTTGGTACAACAAGATTAATATATTTAAAAAAATATATATATGCACATAAACCAATTACCTTGCATTCGTGTATAAAACAACAACCTAAGTAGTATTATTCGGCAATAGTCATAATTAATATAATTTAAATGAAGCGGTGGGGACCGGACTTTATCATAAAAGTATTAAGTAATAAAATAAAATTTTAATTGGTACCTATATCAATTAGTTATCAATATACCTATAACATTTTTGATTAAAACGACCATTTTTTTTAAATTTATGTATAGTACAAAATTATCATAGCATATATTATAAAATAGTTGTGATACCGAATTAAAAGCATTCTGTGGAATGCTCATCAAAAAAACATTATACAGAGTGCAAATATAGGACAATCCTATTATGTAAAAAAATTATAATATATTATATAACATCAAACAACATTAATTTGAAATTAAAATAATAGTATACTATACTAAATAATTTCAAGGAACGATATAATATATTATTAGTGCAATCATTATAATCTTAATAATATCTATGTCCTATATTAACTCATGTAGCCGTTTTCTAGGTAATTAGTGTAACTAAAATACATTTTTAAATTGCTAATTATTGAGTATTATTTGTTATAATGAATTTAAATACCTAATTTGTTGTTAAATATGAAATAGGTTAATTGAATTAAACCAATATAATTATTAATTACAATACCTACCTACCTACCTACCTGTAGCGAAATTACAAAACAAATCATTGCTTATTTTACTTAAGTAATTATGTTTATAAAATATTCTCATATCTGTATCCACTATGTACTTTATTCGAAAATATTTGTTGTACAATCATAATATATATATAACTATTGAATGTATTCTGTTATTAATTGTGTAACTATTGAATAACCTGAATGACAAATAATTTTTAAATTTTTATTTATTCTTCAAGAATAAATAAATATTGTCCCACTGAACATGTTAGTGTGGAAACCAAGAGTTCACAATTTGAAATATAAACACATTAAATAGTTCTTAAAAATTAAATAATTACAATTTGTAATATACATTTCTCACATACCTAACTATAATATTAATAATATAAGTAATATATATTTTCTTCTCTTTGTTTATATAATATGGTATTATGTAAAAAATTATGTAGTTAAATAATACAATATATAATATTTTAATATAAAACTATACAACTATAAAATATTTTGATCCCTATAGAACCGACGCTATATAAAATAATTTTTTTATTGGTAGTATCATTCATGTCATTGTATAAATATTTTGTGTGGTGTCTTGAGTCTTTTTTTAGGATAATTTTTAGTATTTTGTTTTGAATTTTTTTTTAATGGATCTATAGTTGTATCATAATTACCTCCCCATATAGAAACACCATATATATAAATAAATAGTAGGTATCGTAAATTGTTGATTGAAGTAAAAGTTATACCAAAAGATTCCTGAAGTTTTGGAGTATGTTTATAGCGTATTTTTTCTATTTCTTTAGATATCTGTAACTACTCTAGGTAGGTACCTACTCCCAAATCCCAATAAACCTATAACAGAGTTACTTCCATATTTAGTAGGAAAAATAAAGACAATTGTGATTTTTAATTGTTGTATCTTGTATATTATTTTCTTTTGTTTTAACTATAGTGTATAGGTACTTAAATAAAAAACATTATAATTTTAGCTTGGTCTATATTACAACAATTTACAAGGATGCAATGCTTATGACATAGTTTAGTAGTTACTAGTGTCATTCATTAACAACATTAGGTATTAATAATTTGGATCTAAACTTAAATATTTTGAATTAGGCATCTTTTATTTTGACATGAATAATGTTTATCAACATACACTTGAGATAGGGGTATATACATAGTAAATAACTATATATATAATGTGTATTATATATGTTATGGCTTATAATTTATAACTTAATATTAACATATGCAAGGGTACACAAAAAACATTATGTAGCTACAAGTTCCGTTGCATCTTTATTTTCTTATAATTTCTTTTTAGTTGACATATTATAAGTTTAAAAAAATGTATTAACTGATATATAGTAAGTCTCTGTATACTAATAATAGGATCTTGAAAATTAAAATCTAATTGTTAATTAAATGTTTGAATGCTTGATAAGAAAAAGCATTATATGAATAATTATTAAGACATTTTTTTCATATTCTTTAATGCTATCTTAGCAGCAGCAATTTTGGCTTCTTTTTTACTCTTACCAATTCCATATACAGTCAAACTTTTTTCCTCTGAATGTATCTTTAACTGAATCTGAAAGTTTTTATGAAGTGCTTGATCAGTTAGGTCACTGTAAAATAAAAATAAAAATATGATTATTATAAATTTGGTTTCTGTGATCAATTTTGAACTAGTATATTATTATGTAATGGTAGGAGAAGAGGAAGGGGTTAAAATCAGATAATTTCCATCGCTTTTAAAAATAATAAAGTAAAAAACGTGGGCAAGTCTGTCACTGTATATTGGATAGTATTAAATTTGAATTCAATGATATAATATTATTGTATAAGAAAAATGATTCTGAGCGGAGACGGTATGTCAGTCTAGGTATAAGACGTATTATATACATATCTATGGTATTAAACAAAAAATTGACCTATAATAGGTACCTACATTAAATTCCAAATTAATCATATCACAATATCCATTTTGTACTTATAACGCGTTATACATCAACAACAAACCCTGATACTATCATAGATATACAATAGTACACTTTAGATGTTTCAAGTACCCACGAATAATATTATTCAATCACAACAAAATAACTAAAATAGTTATTCTAGGTTTTTTAATATGTAATTTCGTCCAAATTTGAATTTAAAATTTCTGTAAAAAATAACTGTGTTCATTTATTTATAATATTTATTTATAATATATAAACGCCAAACGGCAATTCTAAATTAACACATTAAGTTTAAAATTAATAGATATAACAATAATATAATACAAATTCACACAAATTAGAACATATGGAAAAACACAACATAATATAAACTAAGTGGTAATACCTTAATTTAGTAATGTATAACTATGATACAACATATTTATAAATGATATTATTTAATTACTTATTAAAATCAAAATTAAGATTGTTCAGATTACGAAGCATTCTTATTCATATATTTTTTAGATTTTTTGGTTACAGTATGAACTATTTATGAGAACCTTTGTTTTAAATTTGCAATCCTTAGCTATAAAAACTGAACATTTTATAATTTATTAATTACAATCATTGATAATTTTGAGATTTTGTCAAAATCCCAACTTTAAATGCTTATAAGAAAAAATTGTGCCTATGTATTTTCAATGTTTTTGAACTGATATTGTAACAATATATCAGGAGTCTTGTATTACATTTTTACACTTTTTTGCCCAACAGATAAGACTTTATAAAAAGTTAGACAACCCCCCCTTTAAATAATTTTTTTTCGTAACTTAAGACTATCATTTTATGCCAGCTACTTCTTCACGGGACATACTGTATAATACCTATTATTATATTTTTAATTATTATAATATTAAACCAGACATTATTTATCGTTCATTGTTATTAACATATTAGTCAAATACCGTGCACCGTAAAATGGTGTGAATAGATTCACAGTATAGATTCAAAATAGACTAAATATTTTTAAAGTTATGTGAAGTAAATAATATTGCATGTAATCGAAAAGAGTTTCAAGCCGTAGTCATCGTGTAAAATATCTCCGAATTACAAAAATAATAACATAATAATTATTATTTTACTTTATAATAACAAACTTCATCGACATTTTAAATTGGTGAAAAATCTTAAACATTTAATACAAGGTTCCTTACTATAAATTTTTTATGGCAATTAATAAATATTTGTATAATCATAGTCCCCTTTTTTTTATAAGCATTTGAATAATTTTAATACCCAGGTTTAGAAAATGTAATACAATGGCATAAGCTCAATATAAAAATTGTTAACTGTTCTATATAAGAATAAAAAAATTTGATATGAAACCATGAATACATCTCTTATACTTCATACTTCATACATACTGTTATTTTGTGAGCATTTGAATACTAGTGTATATACTATAAGACTGTCTCTGCTCTGAATCGTTTTTCATCATATGCCTTGGTACATAATTCATCATTAAATTCAAATGTATTCAGTTATAAATAAAAAATGAGGGAACGTCGCTTGTGGCGTCACAATCATAAATTTATAATCATGCTATAGAAACTAACTTATCTTATATAGGTACTGTGGTTACTACCTCAATCAAGTAACCAACCAAAGTATGTATACAACTTATAACGCCCACCACTGAAATAACACATTTATATATCCCACCCAAGTCAATATTTTTTTCTAGTCTACCATTTTGCTGTTGTTTATATTAGTATATAAAATGTATGGGCCATACTCAAAACTGATTTAAGTTAATAAACTAAATACCTATAGTACAAACCTGTAAATTGGTTGTAAATTTAATTTGAATAAAATATCCATAGGATTTGTTGGTAAGTTGTTACAAAATTTGTCTGCAAAAATAAAATAAATTATAAATAATATAATACTTAATATTATAATTATGAAAGCCATATTTTATAATTTAAAAGGCATTAAATCTTTATAAATAATAATTTAATAATATATTGAGGCTATCAATGTACTATACTTTGAAAAACCTCAACTTGGTTAAATTTAATATTTTAGTTTTCAATTAAATTCATTTAAATTATAAATTTTCACAATTTATGGAAATTAATATTATGTATAAATTACATGGTAATATTAAAAAACGTATAAAAGAATTAACTTACTGATATCTTCTTCCCAAAATCTATACAAAATAGTCCATACAACATTCAAATCTCTATTACAGTCTAAATATATTGCAGCAATTAGTGACTCAAACACGTCAGCCAATACTTTTGGTACATCAATAAATTCAGCTACATAAGAATCATCTTTTTCTGCAAGACACAAAACCTACAAATATGATAAATTATTAAGCTATATATTTATTGTAGTAAAATCATAAAATAAAATTTTACATCTAGGCCAATTTGATAGTTGTTTTTTTGAAAATGTTTATAAAAACGATCAATTTTTTCAGTCATTAGCACCGCCTTTGCTAAGACAAATCTATGTAGTCCTATGCGTGCGCTCAATGAACCAATGGTTGTGTTATTCACTAGTGAAGATCTGACAATAGTTATTTCATCAGAAGTTTTGGTATTCCCATGTTCCATTATATATGATGTAATCAAGAAATCTGAAATATTATTCAAATTCAATAAACTTCATTGAGAAACATTTTAGGGAACTATACAGTAAATTAATGGCCAAGGTATGTATTGTTATAATTTTTAAAGCAAAAAAAAAAAATCTTCGCATTACACAAATGATTCTACCGGACAGTAATTTAGTGTAGGGCAGCATTTGAACCATACATATGGATAATACTAATAGACATATTATTGTAATATTGCACTGGGGACCAAAATACCTAAAGGTGGCCTGCGTAGGTATATCCGTTTCAATCTTTGTACTTAAATGTGCCACCAATTATGAAATCAACTTATCAACCAAAAACTATAATGATGCATATTATTATTAATGGTTTATCATATATTTTGTGGTATATTGTATACTCTATATATTTGTATTTATTTTTAGGTATGTGTATAATATAAAAATGTATTTTGACACATACCTATGGAAAAAAATTAAATTAAATTTGTTGATTTTTAAAAATACTTCCTAAGTAAAAGGACATATTTTATAAAGGTCAAATAACATGAAAGTTTTAGACTTTAAACTAACATTAACAGTAAAAGTAATTAGTAAAAACAAAACATAAATAATGAACCGAATTTGACACAAAGACAACCAGTTGGCTGACGCTGTGTTTGTATAAGTATTGTTTAGCCAATTATATAATACTTAGGTAGTTATTAACAACAAGTATAAAGACAAACAAATGTCTATTAAATAATTATTGTATACATTATGTCATAATATTATAACATTTGGTAGTAATAACTAACCAATTATAGCATCACCAAGAAACTCAAGTCTTTGATAACATTCTGAAAACCCAAATTCATTGGTTTTATGGGTTAGAGCTTGAACTAATAGATGTTTATGTTTAAATGAATAGCCAATTCTTTGTTCAAGTATTTTATATCCAGGCAAAATTTTTGAAATATTTAAATCAACCCTTTGATTTTCTATTGGTTGAGGCTTGAATGTATCAATTAATTGTTCTGGTATAATACCCAGACCCCGGAGAACCTTATAGCCTACTTTAACTCCGCATTTCTAAAATAAAAACAAAATGTGATTAAAAAAAATATAATAGGTGAGTATTATTAATATTCATACTTACATATACATATGTACCAATCAATGATTCTACACAGTCAGCAACCATTTTATCTGAAAATAATTTCTTATATATAAATAGTTCATCAGATGGTGAATGGACCATTTGAGGTGCATTATGTTGTGTTAGTGGGATAAAGTCCAAAGGAGAGATGGTAGGGTAAAAAACAGCGCTTGGAGGGAAGGGTCTAAGGGTAAGTAGAAGTAAAACTGAGATTTTGTATGATTTTGAAGAAATTAATCGAGAAAATGATAGGGCAACACATGTCATGAAGATGGGGAATAATGTTGGTAATGTGTGAAGTAAATAGATTCAATAGTAGGTACATTAGTATATTGGTTGTACAAAACAATGGTAGTTTTTCTCTGTAATAGGATTATGTGTGGACAAAGCCGGTTGGCGGTTTGGGTAATATCGGCCCTTCGAGAAATATTTTTCTACTATCCCATAATTTTCTATAGTGGCTTATATTGGCCAAATGTTATTATTATTAATAAATAATAATGGCCTTATCACATTTTTTGTCAGTATACTGTTATAATATAGCAAAATCATAATGCAATATTGCGGCCATTGTCTCTAATCAGCCCAAAATATTAGCAGCCCTTTGAGATTTTCTTGAATGCTCAACTGTCCTATCTGGCCCTATATTTGAATGAATGAAGTCTAGATAAACGAAAGATTAGGTATTTTGTCTGATAAGGGGAGGACATTGAGATTAAAAGGCAGATTTTATAAAGCTGTTGTCTTGGTTGCCATGTTGCAATGATCCGAATGTTAGGTCAATGTTTGTGTACAATGAAACGGAACAGAGGGTGAGTGTAGCAGATATTATAATGCTAAGTTGGATGTGTTTATGTGTAATAATAAGAAATTAATTCATCAGGCGTAGGTAGAGTAGGAGTGGAATAAATGAGGAAGAATAAGTTGAAATTGATTATGAGGTGAAATGACTGGTAAACGGGAGGTAGTGAGAGTGGCTATAGAAATTAGTGTAGAATTAAAGAAGAAATGGAGAGAAAGGTGGAAGAAGAGATGGATGGACAGAAAAGGGAATAATACCTAAATAGAGCCCAATGGACAAGGTGGGACAAACTGGACAAAGGTTGCCGAACCTATGAGTTGGAATAAAGAACTGTATAATAATATGTATGAAAATGAAAAATAAGAAGATTTATTAAACTTTCATAAATTATCTTTAAATTAAAAATTTGTAATATATTAAAAAATATTACTTTTGAAAAAAACTCTGTAGTAATTATGTAATAAACAATATTTGTATTTTTTACCTGTAATTCTATTGTTTTTAGGAATAATTATCTGATAATGTGCATCAGGTGAAATATTATTATCTACAATGGTACCCATGATTGGAACATCAAAGCATGGAGGTATCCAATGCGTATTTGGGTCAAAATATTTTACCTAAATTTGAATTAACATAATTATTTTTTTTTTTTACAAATGTTTAAGCCTTTAAATAGGTACCATATATGATACAATATCTGAATTTCTTCCAGCATAACACAAATGTCGATTCCCAACTATTTTCATTCTTAGGGTACTAAGAACTCCTTCATCTTGTAATGGACAAGCATCATATAATACCAATGATATAGCAAATTTCAGGAAACTATCACCAAATGTTTCCATGCACTCATTATTAAATATATCTTCCGCATTTATTGGTGTTAGGGCCTAAACATAAAAGTTCATAACACTTATATAATATTTATATTTACATAATTTTAAATATTAGTTTGAGTGAAAATTACAAATAAAAAGGAGAAGTTAATTGTCACAATTTTCTAAATTAGACTCTATTAAGTCTTCAATCAATCACAACTAAAATCAATGACAAATTTTTTGAGTTTCATGTTTCAATAAGTATATAAAAACTATTGAAGTTTTATTTTTACCTAAGATAATTTTGATAAAACAATTTTTAATTTTAAACAATTATTTTTAATAAACTTTAGTTTTAATTTTTAAGTAATAAAATAAAACGTGAATAATAATTTATTCTTGTTTTCGTTATGGCAAAAATTTTAAACTTAAAAAAAATTAATTATAAGTATCATTACAAAAATTCATCATAAAAATACATAATTATTGATAAAAATAATTAAGACAGGTTTTTTAAATTATTGCTGAGGATACCAATAAAATCAATTAGTTCCCTCTTTTGTTGGTATAACTTTTAATATAAAAAAGAGTGTCAATTTTAAATTAAGTTCCTAAGCCACATATAGAAAAAACAATTAACAGCAAGATTATACTAGAAATACATTTAAACTAAACAGCATTTATTAATTTTAAATGGATTAGCAAGTGCCCAATCCCCTTGCTTGTATTAATTATTAGTTAAAATATTATTATTATTACTTTCAAAATATCAGACTGCTTAGGCCATATATTTTGTTTTGAAACTTCTTTGATCAATGGACTCAATATAGGTGGTAGATTATTCGTTAAATTTAATGGATTCATATCATTCAATTCAGTTTTTAGTACTTCATCTATTTGCTCCTGAAATAATTGTATTCATTTCATTTAACTTACTTGTTAAATCATGTATTTGTATATAGTATATTTCACTAAATCCAATCATAATAATATATACTTTATAAAGATAAAGTATTAAATAACACTTAAAAGACAATATTGCATATAAAAATATTATTACAAACATCTAAGATTATCTAAAAATAACAAAATTAATAAAGAAATAATAAATAATATATTATATTTCACAAGTGATAAATATAATATTTTATATATTTATAATTTTATTACACCTAATTCAAAATAATAATATTACAACTTAAAATGTCTAGGTAGCAACAAGCTGCAGTTAATCTTATGATAGGTGTAATTTCAAAAACAAAAATGTAAGCTTATTAAAAGTAATAAAAAATATGACTTTTTAAATTTTTGCAATACTTATACAGTATTAATGTTCCTATTTTTATTGAAATAAGTTTTGCCTACATAAAATCATTTTTTATCCACTGATTTACAATTTTATATTATTGAATAAATGAAATAATTCACAATACGATTAATCTTTACTTAAAATGTAGAAGTATTTAACAAATATAATTTTATATAATTTTATTAAATCTACTTTATCCTATAATTTATGACATTTAATAAAACTATTTAGTCTTTAATTATTTGTATAAGTAAATAACTAGGTACTTAACTTTCAATTGTAAAAATCTTATATAAATCCTATAAGTGACAAATTTTCTCCAATAATTCTTATTCATTCAAATGCACTGACTTATCATAAGGCATTAGCTTGGACATTAATTTTCATTTGGGGAAGGGCCGAAGGGGTATATATATTCATAATTTTTAAGATTAATCACAAGGTAGTTCTCCCTGCACTTATATATTATATTATGTACTATATTTTGAACTCTAATCTAGTACCTTGCAATGTGATTTAAGCTGGAATATAAGTAACACTTATAAGTTAGAAATAATAAATAATATCTACACATAAATAGTTTAAAAGTTGGATAAAAAAACAATGTTAACTAATAATTAATTATATGGGCATTCCTATGGCTTAAAAAAATAGTGCTTAGGTATCTAATATATTAGAAAAAATACTTTATGAATAATATCAATTACAAATTATAAATCATGTTATAATTGTATTTTAGACTTCTAAAAATATATAATTTCCAAGAGCTTGCTTTAAGTTGGTTGAATTAGTTAAACTTAGACTTAGTTTATTGACTTGGTTAAGTCAATAAGATGACGAAATACCCTCTTGTCTTTTCTCTGTCTTATAATGTCAATCATAGCAAATTGTACATTGCACATTACAAATAATCCATTTAACTCTGTTAATTATTTAATTAAAGGAAATTGATGTTTTATCAACATTTAAAAGCAAAAATATTATCTAGGTTATCTAAATATCATCTAAATTTTAGTATTTCCAAAAGGATTTCGAAAGGCTTGCAACTTGCTTTAAAAAGAATATATCAAAAAATTTTACCTACAAGGCCAAGTAATAATTGTACCCTAAAATTTCATAATATATCAATGAATTTTAATATTAAACATAACTAGAGTTAAATAGATTATTAGGAAAGTAAATTATTGGAGACAATACATACTACAATATTTATAAAGTTGATACCTATTTATTATAAAACTAATAACTAATAACTAGACTTGGATAATATTCCGAATACAGTATTCGGAATACTTATTTTCTTATATAAGTATACTCTAATATATTACTAATTATTACTTATTAACTATATTAATTTGAATATAATTTATAACTAATAGATAGCCAGATAGGTGTGTATTACCGAGATTAGGTATAATAATAATTTTATAATCATAAATGTTAGCTAAAAGATGAGGTTTTATATTCTAAAACCATTTTAGTTAAAAAGTGACTTTTGAAAAAAATGTGATTTAGAATATTTTCATTCTAGACCCACGAGGTACACTTGACCTGGGCCTGAAAATAACAGATCAATCATTAAACAACCAAAAGACATAGGTAGTACAAGTATATGTTAGAATTATCCTACCTACCTATTTAGTAATTATCTTACTAACCTTAATTCTATTGGATGAATTTGATTCTTAATGTTTACAAAATAAATATTCAATTTGTTTATTAGAAAATAGCAATTATACATATTAAGGATATTTGTAAGATTTATTTTACATTTTTATACTCACAATATTATTATTTCCCTCAGATTGATCGTTCATAAATGTTTGATAATTTTGAAGATCAGACATTGTTGGTTTTCTTAACCTTTCAATATCTTTAGGAAAATTGTTTGGATCAAACTCTAAAACATCATCCATATTATTGAGAGTGTATTTCAATGTTTCATTAATTTCCATTACATTATTTTTAATTTTGCTTTCATTAAAAATAAAAGTACTATCCATCTTTAATGAATCTTCTGTTAACAAAAATAAATAATAAGAAAAAAAACTTATCTTAGTAATATGTTTAGCTTACTGTTTGTATTGCCTTCTACTACAATATTACACATAGAATTAATTTTTGCAAAAAGTTCTTCTGCCAATAATAATTTTTCTAATCGATATAATATTGTTGGGAGCATTAAAGCTTTCAACCAATAATCCGTTGGAAATTTATGCCAAGTACAAAATTCAGGTATAAGTATATTATCATGTTCAGTTTGTTTGTCAAGTTTATGCAATAGATGTCTAAAAAGAAATACAAATATTATTATTTAGTAATAAAATTCTTCAATATTATACTACTACCTGGGAGTTAAATAATTCATTTCTGACACATCTAATGACTTTACTTTTATCAAGGGTTGATTTTTATGGGAAACGTGAATGTTATATTTGTCACTAAAGTATTTCGCATAAGTATCATACTCAGAAGACTCAAAAGAACTTTCAGGTGTCTTATCCAAGTAAACATCAGTGACAATATATCTCTAAATGTTGAAATATAAAACCATAATGTATTTTAATTATCAATAATTTTGTAAATATAGGAAATATTTATTTTTGCAATACATAATAACAAGTTTTAGATGGGTTTCATATTGTGATGTAGGTACAAAATATATACCAGATACTTATGTAATGACAGTTGTAAATTAAACATTGCTTAAGATACAATATAATATTCTACCACGGTATTATTAATATTTGATATTAAGATTGATTTTGTATAACATTTTTGACTTTGGTTCATAAATAGATTTAAAATAAACTTGGAACAGTATAAAATCCTAAAAAAAAAGTTTTTTTATACCAATGGTTTTTATTTTAATAACTTTTATATTTATTTTATTCTTAAAATTTCCCAATTGTATTTATGAACACTTTGTCAATAATTGTATCAATTTTAAGGGGCAATAACATCTCCTATCCTATTCAATATTTAGAAAACACATCAACATCACTCTAAACTCTTCTAACACTTCTGTTGCTCAATATGCTGACAACAAAACAATACTCTTTCAGTTCAAGAAAATTCAATCACCTTATCTAACTAACCAATAATAATCTCATCTTTCTCGTATTGAATATTGAAACCTAGTGTTATAACTATAAAGTTAAAATAATGGAAGCAAATCTAGGCATCCAGTCACATCCATTTTATTCTTGAACAGTAAATTTATCCCCAAATTGCATTTAAATAGTGGCGTATCCAGGGGCGGAATAGGGTTGTACCTCCCCCCCCCCAACCGAAAAAAAATCGTGTTACGCCTTGCATTTAGAAATATCTTAATTACAACATCATTAAACACAAATTACATCGAAATAACAACTATTTTAAAACCAATTTTGGATCTAAATTCGTGGGTTCGCAACAAAATCAAAATTATAAATCTCTCAAATGTGCATGCTTAAAATCGACATTACTTTAAAACCAAATGAGATAAAACCATTTTGATTGCAACATTATTTTAAGTCCCCAAAATTATATAAGATTTTGGAAACTAATTGACAATATTGCGAATAAAATATTGCCTTATAATCTAGATTTGTACAGCACAGGAACTCATATCATACATCCTGATAATGTAACATGTATAGTATAAAATATGTCTAATAATAATGATGTCAAATATAAAGCCAATATTTCATTTTAATTATTGGAAATTGATTCTTAACTACTTAAATCTAAATACTAGTTGGTAGTGTTGGTACGGATAAAATAATTGTGTTTAAAATAAATAGAAAAAATATTATTACTTGTACTGGTGATACGTTTTTGTACCACGGTGAAATTACATGGATTGAACTGAGATATTCTTCATAAAATTTAGAATTTCTCTGTTCCAAAGTAGGTTTTTCATTTGCTTCTACAAATTTGTCTATATGGATAACATTCAAATCCAGATAATAAATATTATCTAAAATATAAAAATATTTAAACATTTTAGTTTTATAAGTACCTACCTAGGTACATATTTCATAATAAGTTATAAATGAAATACCAAACCTGTCAAAATAGTAGGAACAACTAAATATGAATTATCTCCATTATCGTAGCTTCTTGCAAAATTATTTTTTACTCTCAATACATCCATAAATAATTTGTTATGGAAATTGTCTAGTTTCTTAAGGAGTTCATGGTCAATAAAAATTTCATTAACGTTTACCTTTATGCTAACATTAATAGTACCGAAATGTGAAAATATCGGAAAACTGGATACCTGTATAAGTAAGCAAAGAACATTGATTATTATTTATTGATCATAGTTGAAATAATAATGATTATTAGAGAATTAGATGTATAACGTATATGTACCTATATATGAACATAAGATTTTATATTTTTACCAAGACGCGAGGATCAATATTGAACATTTAAGAATGTTAGGTATAAGGGATCAAAATTTCCGAAAAAAATGGTTTTGAAAATATAATTTTTTAATTTTCCGAAAAATTATTTTTTTTTTTATTAAATTTTTGGTTAAAACTTCGGTTTTTTCGGAAATGTATTATTTTAATATTCTCCAGTTTTTCACATTTTTCAAGGCTCTGGGAAACAAACAGTTTTTTCCCGGATTTTTCCGGAATTTTGTTCCTTATTAGATATTACATATTTATTTAATTCTAGTAGATAATAAAATACAGTGTCTACAAGTGTCCTGTGAATCCATTAGCCATAGAGGGGGACACACGCCTAGCAGACAAAACTCAGTATTTTGCCATTACACCTATAATAACTAAAAGAATGATTAAAAATCATGAGATTAATGGAAATAAAATGTTAAAAAATAAAAAGTCAAACATTTCAGAAAAATAAACTCTATAAAATGGCTATCTTTGATTGTCTCAAAAATTAAAAATAAATGTTTTGACTTTTTACCAAAAAATGAATCCTTGTCTCTGTGAGTCTAATAAAGAAAACAGATTTAAGTTAGGTACCTATATTTATTATCTCAGGATATATTTCAATGGGTAAATCCTCGCGGTAGGTACACTCGTATATCATACCTATTATTTTTATGGCACGAATAAAACTAATATTTAGTATAAGTAGTTAATTTCACATTTTAACTTTTTTTATTAAGGTACCTATCTACATCTATTTTAAACTTTGAGAGTATCGAAAAAATGTATTGATTTTAGAAAGATATATGACGTGGGTTTTGTTTTTCTGTCCGTCATCAACTATTGGAATAGGCAGTAAGAATGCTAAGGTTTTCAACTCCCAGCATCTTTTTTGATAGGAAAGTAAATCTAGTTGACGTATTAAAGAGGTGAAATTGAAAATCCCCAGTAGTTTCCAAAATCATCGGAAAATACAAAAAAAATAAAAGGCAAAAATGGGAATTTTTCGGCTAAGACAATTTTTGACAAAATCTATTTTTCTTATGTAAAAGCAATTTTGGTTGAGTATAATTTATTATATAAAAAAATAATATAATATATCATTTATTATCATAAATCGTCAAATTTTTTTTTTTGTTATTAAAATTAAAACAAAAAATGTGTAAACTTTAAGTATTTTATTTTAAATACAAATACTTTGCCCAATTACTTTTTCCAAAACTATTTAAAATGCGTATTTTAGTTGGTACTTAAAAAGTATTTTAATACTTTTACTCAAGTACTTCACAAGGTTGTTGATAAATCATTGACACCTCCAGATGGATAATATTTCACTTAGGTACACCTAAGACCTAACAAATGAAGTGAAAACGCTGAAATGTTAAATTATAATTTTGATATTTGGCCACTGTATTTTTACCTAAGACGACGCCCCACACGGATATTTGTCGTCTCCGTCTTACAAGTGTGTAAAATACCAAATTTACTCTTAGAAGATCGCCTTTAACTCCGTTAGTTTAAAAACTAGAGTGAATTAACCTATTATGAAGCTCGATGGTAAGAACATTTTCCGTGTTCGTATGTTGGTTTTTTACGATAGTTAAATTTTTTAGCAGGTTGTGGCGTTGTGTGTATACATATAATATAGCGTAAATTAAAAATGCTCATAACTCAATTCAAAAATGAATTATCGTAAAAAAAAACAAACATAAGAACACAGATAATGTTCTTACCATTAAGTTTCATAATCGACTAGATTCACTTTAATTTTTAAACTAACGGAGCTAAACGTGATCTGCAGAGCGTAAATTTTGCCTGTTACGCACTTGTAAGACGGAGACAACAAAATATTATATCTGTGGGGCGTCCTCATAACTTACTCTAGATCTTTGAGAGACTCAAAGTCTTTTTATTATTAGATCGTTTTCAATAAAAAGTTATACCAATAGATTCCTTGAGATTTATAGGGTGTTTATATAGTTTATTTGTTCAATCCGTATACGTACCTAAGTACTAAGTAGTAAGTAGTTAAAGAAAGCTCATACCTTAAGATACACGAATTTTGTTTCTAGCTGACGAAAAAATACGTCAAATTGTACAATATCTTCCTGGTATTTTAAATTCATTAAATAGATAGAACTAGAATTAATTTAGCAGAAAAAATGTATATAGTGATTAGTGAAATAGTATTTTTAAAAATATATTTCCACATAGTTGTAGGTACTAGCAATTAGGTAACCTACTTCGATTAATATTCTGTTTAAGAATATGAAATTAAAAATATAAATTGTCATGCACAACAATTTAAAATATAAAAAAATTATGTCTGCGGGCTGCGAAAATACTATAGAAAATATGTTATCAAAATTATATTTTGCTATGTATAAATACGTAAAAATACAAGCCTTACATGACACGTGCGTTTGGGCAGAGTTGTTAAGAAATTTAATTTTTACCATAAATGTGCATTTAATATTTATATATATTTTACCACTAGCTAGTTAAAATTCTCAATTCAAATGTAATCTTGCCGAGAACTTTATTTGAAAAAAGGCGAGTAACTGGATGTCGGTCTGCAGTACACTAGGATACAAGTGGGTCACTGTATAGTGTAGGAATGGATGGTATTAAATTTGAATTCATTGATATAAATTATTATAATATCATTGTAAACGAACAACGATTCTGAACGGAGCGGTTTGTCAATGTGGATATTTTATGTTATTTTATTTATATTCTTATTGCTTATTATTAATACGGAAGGCAGTAAGTGATAATATAAATTACAACAAAATAACTAAAACCGTTATTCTTGGTTATTTAATATATAATTTCGTCCAAATTTGAACATAAAATAACTATAAAAAACCCTTGCTTTTATATTTTTGGCTACAGAATAGCTTACTTACTTGGAACCTTGTTTTACATTTTCAATCCTTAGATATAAAAGTTGAACATTTTATTAATTTTTAACTACAAAATCATTTTTAATTTTAAATTTGATAAATGTTGTCAAAAATCAAACATAAATTGCTTAAAAAAAAATTGTGCCTATGTATTTTTAGTATTTTAAATTTTTCAACTATTATTGTAACAATATATCAACTATCAAGAGCCTTGTATTAAATGTTTACTTTCATTTTGACACAGCAAATTTATATAAATTTATTAAATAAATGTATAGAAAAAAAAAAAACAAAAAAAAATTGATAATTGCAGAAAATGTCCGCTAACAGTTCAAAACAGGTCAATATGTTTAGAAAATTGTATGAAGTAAAGCAATTGATAAAATTAACACATGATGTACATTTCAAGGGTCTACAGTTATTCATTTTTGAATTACAACAAAATAAGGAAATCGCCACATGAGAAATCGAGTAAATATCCAATATTGTAAAAATATGAACATCGAAAGTTTATAAAAATTGAATTTGACATTCTGGTAAACATTTTTTTTGTGTAAAGATAGACAGACTTATGAGGAATCTTGTATTTTAACTTTTTTTCAAAATACAAAAACCAAAGTCAGTATTGTCAAAAACTAATTTTCCTTAATTTTAGTTTTGTTTTTCTTGGCGCTTATGAAAACTACTGGGATTTTTACCTCCTCGATGCACCAACTAGATTCACTTTTCCATAGAACAAGATAATGAAATTGAAAATCGAAGCACTATTTCGATTACTTATCGTGAATAAACAGACACAAAAAAAAATTTAAAAAAAAAACCACACATCATTGTAAAACCAATACATCAGAATCTAAAATTATCTTACACTGTACTCTGTAGGTACTATTGGTACTAATTAGTAATTATCTATAAAATACATAAAATATACCAACATACCTATACCTATTTAAAAGAGTTTCCCTTGTTTTAATATAGTTTTATATCAATTTATATTATTCAATATATCATATTAATCCGTTCCTTAATAGTTATAAGTTATAAATGAAAAAAAATACTTACTTATACTAATAAACCTATTGAACAAAATATGTCAAATCTTCTATACCTAATATTTTAGATGTTAATTTAATATATAGATTTATTAGTAGGTAGGTACTCAATTTTATTTCTATAACACAAAAATAAATTGTTGGTTAACTTACTTGAGGTAATTTATTTGATGTTAAAATTCCGAATTCTCTAATTGACTTAAATAATTTATCAAATGCTTCGTAATTACTTTCTTTTAGTTCGATGTAATCAGGAACACAGTGAATAACATGTAAATATGTCGGTTTATTTACTTGTGGATATGATCCATGTAAGTATGATGGACTCTATTTAAAATATTTGTAACCAGTTTAGATACCAACATGTAGGTACCTGATAACTTATAATATGAATAATTAATACAATCACTCACTTTAAAATGCACTCTCCGTCTCTTCTTAAGTTCGGGAGCTTCCAAATTTAATTGACATTTGCTATGTTCAATTTCTCTATGACGCCAATGTGGAAACCATTTTTTTAAATAATTTTGCACAATATTTTCAACACTCTTAGGCATAAGATGTTCATCTAATATTCCAATCTTGTACAATTTTATACACGCGTTAAATGCAGCACTTTTTTTAGCATCTCTTTTAATTGCACAAGATATTCCCTGAACAAATAAAATAATAAACATGAAATTAATTATAATAGGTACCAACCTTAAATAACTTATAAAAAAAATTAATATATTTACATCAATCTTAATAGTCTTAATAACACTATTAATTGGTAGTGTTAGTTTGAATTTGTAAAAATTATTTTCTTCCATGGTATATTCTTCTTTAAAATCCAATAGTTGATCTTTAGATAAAGACGTACAGTACCTATAAATCATATCAATTAAACAAATAAATCAAATATTTATACTAATATACTATAACCTTTATTTATTTATAACTAGAATCTGGATTTTTATGTTTTATATGGTTTCTTTCTGAATGATTCACAGTTTATTTTAAATTTCTAACTTAACTAGTTCATTATTTTTGTTTTGTAACTTATATTTTTATGTTTAATTATCATTGTAGTGCAGTTAAGTTAATTTTCTTTTCGTGTCATTTGCAATCAACTAGACAATACTGATTCGTGGACTCTTTTTCGATTTTGGTAATTTATTTTCAAAATATATATTATAATAATCTAAATTTTTACACAGAGTGAAACGTCTTAGTAAATATTTGTATACAACAAAATTGAAAATACTAGGGCAGTTTATGATTAAAAAATATTGTAACTTAAAAAAAAATTAAATTTTTAACTGAGGTAAGTTAATTTTATTTTCTAGCTTTAAGATTATCAAGTTAATTTTATTTTTTTTGTTAACTTTTAACTTAACTAAAGACAATTTAATTGAAGTAACTTAACTTTCCACAGTTAATTATTTTCATTAACTTGCCCGCCTTTGCTGTTCTGTCTTTGTTATACATGTTTTTGTTAAAAATTTGCATTTAAAGCATATTTTTAATTTTATGTTATTGATTATTTTTATATAAATTATTAATTATTTTAAGAGAATATTTTTTAAGTTTTATAGCATATTATCATCTAATTTTGACTTTTAATCATAATCATTCAGTCCCTATTATTATAACTTTATCTAAAAAAATTAATTATGACGTTCTAAAATTATGTACCCATTTAAAATATCAAGAGCATTTGTATGACTTAATAAAGCACTTCCATACATCGTCTTGAACATTGTTGACATATCATTATCATTATGAGGTATATGCTCAATATTATTTACTGCCAATATCTAAAAAAAAAATAACGAAATATTATTCTTTTCTAACATGATTAACTCATAGGAAATGTTAAGCCAGGTAAACATACATTTTTTATGTCTTTTTCCATTTCATTAAAGTCATCTAGAATTCCTGTATACTTTAAAATAGACAAATTTGACACCATAGTAATAAAATTACTAGAAGCAGAACGAGCTCTTCCTTTGGATTGTACGTAAGAATTAAAATTGTTAGGACAATCATACCTAATTACAACATTGCAAGTTTGAATATCAATGCCTTCTTCTAGTACTTGTGATGTTATGAGAACATTAATCATTTTAGAGTTAAAGCTACAAAAATAAAACAATTATGAATAATTATATAGTTTATGTAGGATAGTTTTGTAATATAGGTATATTATATATGGATTATAAAATACTTCTTAATAATGTCATTATTTTGTAGTTTTTTATAATTATTTTCATCGCAATCAGTCTCAGATTTTCCTCTTTTGCCAACTATAAACTCACATACAATATTTTTCTGATTATATTCTTGAATGTAATCCTGTTGCATAAATCAAAAAATAATAAAAATGAATCAACTAATTAATTAATAGAATTGATGGTACCTATCTATACCATTATTCTTTTTTAACGTACTTTGATATAATGACATAAAATTTTAACAGTAGTCCGCCGTGTAACAAATACTAAACAAGCATCAGTGGCTTTTAAAGCGGATAAAATTTCCATTAATTTTTTCACTTTTGGAGATACATGTTGTAATGTTGTTGATTGACCTTTATGAATAATTGAGTGTTTATTCATGTAATCATACAAAATTTTTCGAATTATAGTTAATTCTGACAATGCCAGAGACATAATATCATATCTTTTTCCATATTTACAACTTTTTTGTTTTTTTACAATTAACAACATACAATGCAACAAATACAAATATGCGATATAAACACCACCATCATTGAGATGCTCCTAAAAAAAAACACCATTATTTATTATTTCTAAAGAAAATTACCATAATTTTACCTCAAATTCTAGAAAATAATTTTCTAATCGATTAGTTGTCTCTTTGTTTTGTAGCTTCAATTTATATTTTTTACCGGTATTTAATTTTGTTTCATTTTTTAATTTATCCTGAACTATTTCGAGATAATAGACAATTTTTGATATTCTGGATGTGACAGTTAATAATTCATTATCCAGAATATGTTCATCATATAAACATATAGATTCTTTTGGGAGAGCTGTAAAACTGTTATTGTTGATATTAATTATTAATATCATATTATTATTATCTTTGTTTTTAATAATTACTTTTGAATTTGTTTATCATGTTTTGTCTTTATTGTACTATCAAATGTTATTTGCAATTTGCTTAATTCATCTTTAACATTTTTGGATTTTGAGTTGATCAAAGTAGCAGTGAGTCCAAGAATATGAGGGCGATCATCACTTTTTAAATTGGAATTATGTAGTACTTCCATTATCTGATTTGTAAACAATAATAATAAAAACACATTTTATTTGATTATTTTTATATTTTTTAATGGTTATACATTATACACTAGCACTGAATGCCTTCTTAAGGTGGTGCAATTGCACCATCTAACATTAAACAGTTTACTCATTAAATAGTATACCAAGTAAATAATTTATTTTATATTTACATAATATGTCATTTTCTTATAGTCGTAACCAAAATAGATGGTCCTTGAATGGTATGAGGGGGTGGATGAGGGAGCTAAGAATTAATAATACCATGTACACCACATAATAAAAACATATTATTTGGGGCCATTGCTGGTAGAATCAGTGTTTTGGCAGATATAATAAGAGGAATTACCACTTTGATAAGTACAATCTAGGTTGTTAAGAGCAAAGTCATTAGTAAGACAATACATCATTTTTATAGATTTTACTACATTTTGATATTATATTCCACAAATTCTTGCAAATTCTATTAATTGTGAAAAAAGTTTGTATTACAATTCTATGTTGATAATTATTTTAGAAAATATTTCAATATGCTACTTCAGATTTGGAAGTATAATATTATGCTACTTTTCTATTATTTTTTTTTAAGGATCTATTTTGTCTAAATCAACCTTTGGAGACTTCTACATGTTTATAGTTATATGTAATACTCATTGAAGGGTGGATTCTGAATTTACAATTTCTGAAATAATTTTGATGTATATTTAAAAAGTTTAGAATGGAATTATTTGCGATGATAGTTTAAACTTTAAAAGAATATGTAGTACTTAAGTTTATGCACTTTAATCTGTATACACTGTTTCTAAAAATAGTGAACTTTTTTCTGACCCTGAAACAGGTGGGCGAATTATAACATGGTATGATTATAGAAGCAAAAAAATATCAAAATTATATATCAATTCATATATCAAAAGTAATTTAGCAAAACCAATACCTATAAGATTACCAGAAAAAAAATAATGGAGGCAATCAGTAAGCCCAATTTAAAGGTTTATTTATTTTTACATATTTTTAACACAAGCGACAAGCCTAGTACCTATTACATACAGATGGTGAGGGGGTAAAAGGGAATACATTCATTTTGGAAATTTTTCGATTTTGTAATACAAAATCACTTAAACCGGATTATGAGTTTTGCTTCCTAGATATAGTAAAGCGTGAAAGGTATATAGAATATCCAAACAAAAATGTTAGTTAATATAATATGTTATTCAAAACCTAAGTGGATACATTATGGGTAAACTTTTTAACATTTTTCCTCAAATCAAACCATATTATTTACTAAAAACATATGCTTAAAAGTAATTAGTCAAACAAAATTATTAAATAATAATAAAATGTGTTTATTATTTATTTATAATACCTAGAATCTAGATACATAAAATCTAAAAGCCTAAAATCATCTTAATATATAGTAAATTTTCATAATATATTAAATTAACTAACTTTTCTAAATGGATGTGATGCAACAGCATGATGACATTCATCAAAAATAAGTAGATTAGCATCCTTGATATACATGAAACCATGATACAGATTGTTCAAATATATCTGAGCAGTCATCACTAAAATCTAAAAAAAAAAATTTAAAAAAAATTAATTCTACTTGGATCTATCTGCGAAATAGTAGGTACCTAATACAAATACAACTATTTGGTAAAACTGACCGACCCTGTCTTGAGTAAAATAATAAATTATTTTGTATCACACCAAAAGTAAAAATCACCAAGTAAAAAAAGTAGAAAGTAGGTAACTACTCTGCTGTGCAGAAGGTGTCTACGAGGAAAAATCGTTTTAAAAAAAATCGTGCTTATGTGTATTTAATATTTTTGAAGTGCTATTAATTGTTATAACAACTTATGAGGAACCAGTATTAAATTGTCAAGCTTTTTAACCCAGTGAAAAAAATGTTCATCAATATATATTTTATAGAGAAAAAAACCAAAAAAATTGTACATTTCAAATGTCTATAAAGTATAAATAGTTTAATGGGGTCGAAATATATTTTGTATAGAAAATCCAAATAAAAACATTCAGTGATAATATTTCAAATATAGTAGGTTATTTGTTATTAAATTACAATAAAACAGTTAAATAGTTTCCTAGTTTAAGGGTGAATACTGAATATCCAATATCGAAAAAATTCTAACACATAAAAATTAATTCGGCCAAATTAAACAACTTTTTTTTGTGTGTGTAAGATAGACAAACGTCTTATGATGAATCTGGTATAACATTTTCAAATCTTAGATTTGAATAGAACAATTTCTATGATTTTTTAACCCATAATAATTTACAAATGTACGTGATTTTAACGAGTTTTGTTAAAACTTTAGACTCTCATAAAAAATTATTGTGAATTTACTTTATTATTTTTTTTTATTCCCATTAACAAAAACTTATGAGGAACCATGTATTAAATTTTCAAATTTTTTATCTACTATAATTTTAAAAAAACTAATAAAAATCGAAAATGTTATAAAACTATATAAATAGCTCAAAGAGAGTCAAAATATTTTGAAAAATGTATAGGTAATATAGATAAAATGATAATAGAAACATTTTGTGAAAATTCAAAGTATCTACGATTATTTATTTTTTAGTTACAACAAAATAGCAAAATTTATTGATATTTTCAAAAACTGGTTTTGCTTAAAAAAAATTTAACCATAAACTTTTTATAAATAATCCTGGTATTCACTTGATATTTATTCAATTCTTCATCCCACTGCTTTCGATAACTTGAGTCAGCACTAAATGTTCCTACATCCCATGGCAAATGCCTTCTTAAGTTACTTGCTTGTTGGTTAACAAGTGGTATAGAGTTGACTATAAAAAATGTCCATTTTCTACCATTCCCAATCGGTCTGAAAATGGTTTTAAATATTTTATTATTGTTTCTTACACTTATGAACATTTAAAAAAATAGTTAATACACGTACTTTGTTAAACATTCTCCCATGTGTTTGATAAGCAGTGCAGCTATGTATGTTTTTCCACATCCAGTTGGTAATATAAATAGTGTTGGATTTTTTAATATCCTCTAAAATCTCAAGTTGATAACTTCGAGGAACAATACCTGAATCATTCTTTAAAAAAAATATAGGATTTAATTCAAGTAGGTTCCTATGTTTGCAAATTATAATAATGTAATAATGTTTTAAATTTTAATGTAAGTATAAAATTAATATTGGGTAAATAAAATATAACAATTGCATTACCTTCGGTGATTGAGCCATTTTCGTAGTAGGTATTTCAAATGATATTCAAATTAAGAAACAGCAAGTCTTTAACAGAAAATATAATTAAGGTACCTACCTAGCAATTTTAACATTCAGATCATTATTATCATTCTATTATAATAGATATAGGTACTATATAATGCAGTGATGTCCAACCAGTTTTACTCAATGCTTCTTTTAGATTTGCAAAAATCTCACACCGCCTCCCCCCCCGTATTTTTATATACTAAATTCTTACATTTAACTCAACAATCAAAATTAAAAAGCCCACGCTGGGAATCACTCATTATAGTGTAATATTATGTTCACCAAATATTGGCCACGCTGCCATAGTCTATAAACATGTAGACATGTACCTATTGTCTTTAAGTTCTACACCACCTAATCAATATTTGTTTGATCATTTTAAATAGGTACCTATGCAAAATACTTTTTTTTTGTTAACTGCGTCAAATAAAGTGGGTGAACCTTGTAATACGATTATTCTATTGATAAGTGATTTTAATTTATTATTAGATATTTTTACTAAGATCGATGAAGCTACTTTTTTAGATTCTGAGTGGAGCGAGGAAGCTAGTGGTTTTACAATGGTGTTTATTTATTTTTTTTTTTTTTATATCCTGTATACAAAATATCTACCAGAAGAAGGGCTTCGATTTCAACATATAGTACCTTATCTTTTAGCAAATTGGATCAAGATGGTACTTAGAGAGGTCATTTTTCGACTTTCTCAATAGTTGTTTAATGCCACCGGAAAAACCAACTAAAATAGTTATTCTAGGTTTTTTATTATGTAATTTCGTCCAAATTTGAATTTAAAATAACTGTGTTCATATATTTTTTAGATTTTTTGGTTACAGTATGAACTATTTATGAGAACCTTTGTTTTAAATTTGCAATCCTTAGCTATAAAAACTGAACATTTTATAATTTATTAATTACAATGATTGATATTTTCGACATTTTGATAAATGTTGTCAAAATCCGATCTTTAAATGCTTATAAAAAAAAATTGTGCCTATTTATTTTTAATATTTTTCAATTGCTATTGTAACAATATATCAAGAGCCTTGTATTAAATTTTTACACTTTTTGGCCCGACAGATAAAACTTTATTGATATTTATAGAAAAAAAACTAAAAAAATTGAAAATTAAAAATTGAAAATGTCCGTAAACAGCTCAAAAAGAGTTAAAATATTTTCAAAATTGTACAGTGTATAGAAAATGCTAACATGAACATTCAGTGAGATTTTCATGTATCTACAGTTATTCGTTTTTAAATTACAACAAAATAAGGAAATCGCTACATGAGAAATCGAGTGAATATTCAATATTGTAAAAATTTGAATTTCAAACGCTCATAAAAATTTAATTTGATTTTCTTATAGACATTTTTTTTTTGATAAAGGTAAATAATCTTATAAGGAATCTTGTATTACATTTTAAAATCTTAGATTTAAAAAGAAAAATTTTTACGAATTCTTACTCAAAATAATTTGCTAATTTTCGTGATTTTCCATATTTTGTCAATTTTTGAACTTTAAATGCTTATAAAAAAAAATTGTGACATAGGATTTTTAATATTTTTCATCTGCCTTTGAATCAATATACTAGGAGCCTTCTATTAAATTTCCAAGCTTTCGAAACCAACAAATAAAATTTTATTGATATTTTTAGAATAAAAACTAAAAAAAAATGGAAAATGAAAATGTCCCTAAACAGTTAAAAACAAATCATAATATTTTAATTTATCGTGTATAGGAAATGCAATTATAAACAGCCAGTGAAAATTTCATGTATAATTTCATGTATATATACGTTCATTTGTTTTAGAGTTACACCAAAAACCAAATTCAATTTTTTGGAAAACAGATTTTGGGTGAAAATGCTCGTTATTCCTTAATTTGTATGAGTTTAATCCCGGCACTAATGAAAACCATTGGGAATTTTAAAATTTGACCTCCCGAATGGACCAACTAGATTCACTTTCCAATCGAACAAGATACTGAAGTTGAAAATCGAAGCATTACTTTGACTACTTATCGTGTACACAGACACAAAAAAAAAAAAAACACACATCATTGTAAAATCAATACATTCATCTTTCCACTCAGAATCTAAAATGGGATTTTAATTGCTTTGCTTATCAACATAGAAACGAATAAAAAATAGTAATATTATAATATTAATTCAACTTACATGATATAATAAATAATAACAATAAAAAATATCCAGACTGACAAACCGTCTCCGCTCAGAATCGTCTTTCTTATATAATGATATTATATCATTGAATTCAAGTTTAATACAATCCATTATACAATGACCCATTTGATAAATGTTGATTATCAGAAATTTAAATCTTAAATGTGTCATGATTGTTTACAAGTAGACATATTATTAGCAAATTCAGATCAGTTTTCAGAAGTCTTATCGAGGTACGAGGTTCATTGGTATAAGATATATAGATTATAGAAATAGTACCTACTTACAATTATTAATGAGTAATGACTAAAGACCGGATTTATATGTTTTTATATATCGTTACCGGGTTTATGCAGTATTACGAGAGTAAAAAATGTGGACGATTCATTCAATTCTGAATGTGTAGAAAAAAGTATTTTTTCGCATATTAGAGAATATTTCATGGGTTAGAGAATATTTAACCTATTTAGTATATTTTGGTAAATTGTGAGAAAAAATGTATATTTATTTTAATTTTAATATTAAGGTAGGTAGCCAGAAAAAAATTTTTTAACATTTAAAATTTTTTTTTTCATTTCCAACTCTTACTAAAGTGCAATAGTATTCCATTAGAATACTCAACTTTAATACCTAATTAATACCTGACTATTAAAATAATGTTGAAAAAAAATTTTAAAATGCATATTAAAGCATAGGTATAATGATGTTAATTGATTATTTATGCATATTTTAGCATATTTTTAGAAATGTTAAGAGAATATATTAATGAGAATAGGTATTTGAAGGTTTTTTAGAGAATATTAGCATCATATTTTAGGTATTTTAAGAGAATATAAATCCGGTCTTTAATAATGACTAATGAGCGTGGTGACTTAAACGAGCTTAAACTTAAGGAGTTCTTCGCTATTTATTTTACACTAGGTACTGTCTACCCACTTAAGATCATTTACACGACACGCATGCATGTAATTAGAAAATTACCCATATTGAACCCCTTAAAAACTATCCATTTTCAATCTCCTTAAAAAAGTAAATATTTTAAGAATATATTTAGAGACATTTAACGATTTAAGTAGATTCCCTAGTACTATTCCCTAATACTTATTAACCTGATGACACTAATACAAAATTTGTATTAATACTGTTGAAAATAATATATTATAATAATAATATATGGGGGACGAGGTGGCCGAGTGGGTTCAATCCCCGGCCATCGAGCGGCATTTTTCTCTGGGCAAGCCACTCCGGGGCATGGCAGAAACCTACGGGTGCCCCAATAAAAATTCTGCCACCACAAACACACGTGTTAACAAACCTACCGACTCCCGCTACAGTACCACAGGCTAATGACCATTAGTAGTTGAAGCCTTAACCTCAAAAAAAAAAATAATAATAATAATATATTTTTTTTATTCATGGTACAGCTTCAACTTCTAAGGTTATTAGCTTGCAACAAACAATTAGGTATTTATAGTTACATATAAATTAGTTTTTCTTGTTACATAAAAATATAGGTAATAGCTCCTTAAATTAGATTAATAATAATAATACTATGTAACTATAATATTCATAATATGATTGTACTCACCATAGGTATTCACTATAGATGGAGAGATAAAAACGTATGCACGTGCAATCCGTAAAGAGATGTAATGGTGATTGGTGACTGCCGGCTTCTGTACAAGATCAGGGCTCACAATTGTCAGAGCAGCAGAACTGTTGCCCCCTCCCCCTTTTGTTCATCATCTTTACAAAGTGGTTTTATTGAATTGAAGTGCGCCCTCTAGTAACAGTTGGGGGTATATATGTATACGATAATATACCCATACATATTATGTCGTATACACTATACTCATATAGTTAGTATCTCACATTTTAGAATTCGTTTTGTAGAACTTGTTTTATATTGTAATATAATAGTATTGGCGAACCGAAGACTAAATTATTATAGTGCCAATCAAATCAAAATGACAGGATAAAAAGGCGAAAAGTGGGCAAAAAGGCGCACATTATATTATATATTAGGTACCTATATGCTACTCGCATAATATATGTGTGATATATAGGTATAAGACTATAAGAGTTACACATTTTTCTATATGCTTTGAAAATAAAAATAAGTAGGTAGATAAGTACATTGAAATAAATAAATTCTTAACAATCTTAACACGTTAAGTTGTTATGTATATTGACTATAGATACCTACTTGTGAGGTTGTAAAAAATAGTTTTAAAATATTTTTTGTTGTCCCGTTGAGTAAAATGACCCGTGGCTGTGATTATTTTGTAACTCATAGTCGTGTGATCATGGTCCCCGTCACTGCAACCAACTATCCACCCTTACCAGTGGTGTTTTGGAGGGTATACGAGGGTATACGAGGGTATACGAGGGTATACGACGTATACCCAGGGGTTATTAAAGTGGAAAAGTATTCCAGAGGGGACTAATGTCTCCATATAGTTTTAAGCGTTTCATATATAATTTTATGTATAATGTCTAATGTGTAAAATCCTA